GATTTTGAAATCACGCGTATGATTTCAGACCAAATTGCACTCCACTCAGTTCAATTACCATTATTTATTCACAACTGTGTTATGTATTGCAATGGTATTATTATGTAAAACAAATTTGCAGTCTCAAAGACGTTCTCCTTGGTTAAAATTTTTGTCATAATTTAACTCTACCTCACACATAAGAACCTGCTTGGTCTTGCTTGGCTAGACAGGTTCTTGTATTTTTTTGGCATTAAACCACTAGGTTTTTACTGCATTATAGGGAAATATTAACAGTAGTCACGTTTTGTGAAGATTCAGTTACAAGTGTGATGTCTTCATTTCAGGAACTTTTTGATCAGATTAAGAGCTCTTCTTCAGAGGATAGCAAGCTACAGGGGATGGTCGAGAGCTTGGAAAAAATGCTGCATGATTCAGAGAGCAGATATCAAGTAAGTAAATTGATGAGAGAGATGATCTCGGCGGGTATAACTGATATTCTACGCGAGGAGCGATGCTGGCATTTGAACAAGACCAGTGGAGTAAGGCAGTGTTTCCAATAACCCCTTCGTCTTTATGTTTGACCACATTTCCAAACACCGAGAAGAGAGTTGAAAATACGACGCGCAGAGGAGTATTTTTGACGAACTTTGAGGTATTTGGAAATGTGGTCAAACACTGTCTTGAGTGTTTGATATATCTTCTCAAACGAATCTAAAACTAAGGGGAAAATGGAGAAATAAAATCTTAAAGTCTGTGTCAATAGGTCACGTTCGATATATCAATATTCTAACATGAATCCGAAGGTTTCGGGTCAAAATTGCAAAATTTTTAAGTTTCTTTTGTCTCACCATTCCCAAAAAGAGACTTGGATACATAGAAAACACCACCAAATATAGATGTTTGTCCTGAAAGCCTCGGAGCCATGTTAGAATATTGATATATCGAACATGTCCTATTAAGATCAGCTATCCAAACACCGTCACGGTCATGATTTCCTGTGTTTAAACTTGATGAATTATTAATGCGTTTGAGAAGTTAATTTCTCAGAATTTTAAAAACATACCTATATATATAACCTGTAACGACCAAAATTGATATGAAAATATAAACTTTCGCATTGAGATAGATGGCCTGTCTTTGAGAAAGCTGTTGCTAAATTAGCCAAATTTCCTGTCCATTAGGAACAAAGTCGAGCCCTGCAGGAAAGCCAACAGAATCAGGAGCATCTGCAAAATAAGATTCAGTCTTTGGAAGAAATGACGAGAAACGGAGAAAGCGTGAACAAGGTAGAATTTTGTTGTGTTATTTTGTCAGTTCCAGGTGTTCGCTCAGTTGGAAGGCAGCACGAAGAAAAACAGTGGTTTCATTATTTATTCACAACTGTGTTATGTATTGCAATGGTATGTGATTATGTGGTTAGTGATTTCCAAAAAAAAAAAACAAAACAAAAAAACAAAAAACAAAAAAACAAAAAAAAAAGGCCAACAATCCCAGACGAAAGTAGCTGGGAAACTTAAACTGGATGAAGTATCCCCCACCCTCGCTAATCAATGTTGGAAAATGCCGCGTTTTTGAACTAAAAAAAGGAAATTTTTTTTCTAAGTGGGTTTCAAGTACTTTAGGGTTGGGGAGAGCGGAGGGTGGTCGGGAGTATGTTTCCCCAGAAATGTTTGCAATGAATCTTCCTTAGCCCCCCGCGATGTTTGTCGCCGGGGATGGTTCAGCAACCTGCCGTATTCTCACTATGTCATGTTGGCAATGCGTCATGTAGACGCGATAATAGCGCTTTTGACAGGTAACTTTCCTCATTTGCATTACAATATAATCTAATATGTATGTGAGGCAATTTCGGGCTATTTGGTAGTTTCAGCCCGAAATTGCCTCGCGGGCACGTTGGATTACGCTGTAATACAAATGAGAAACACTAACCGTGGAAAGGGCTTTTTTCGGAGTGCTTGCGGTTGCTCGCACCGTTTTATGACTGGATAATAAAAGTCGGAAGATCTTCGAGTGGTTTTTTCCCACTCTCCCTCCCC